AGCCACTCAAGAGGCTCCCGCAGGGACTAAGTCAAGGTGGAGAAGTGTGATGAGAGCTTTGAGAGGGACGAAATCCAAGCAATTGCTGAGAAAATAAATGGCCTCTTGTCCTTTTCTTTTTTTCTACTCTTAATTGAGTACTTTCTGTGTTCTAGGTCTGTGAATTCAGTCCCCAAACAGTTGGCAGAAAGGTCTCTCATAAAGACAAGAATTCTATTAACACTTTGTCTTTCTCCTGTTTCAAAATGCTGACCCTAGTGCTGTATCTCAACCATGATACCTCCTCTATTACCAGGAATTGCATATTGTTGTCTCCTATTATTTGAAATATAGAGATGGTGAGATGGTTACCAATGGGTAAGACATCAGCCTCTAACTGTTTGGAATCTGCAGTGGCAATTAGTGACACTAATTTTTTTTAGCAGCACTCACATCTGAATTATCTTATATTTGATGGCAAATGTCTGGAGATAGCTGTGATCACGCGAAATACAGTTCTTCCTTTTGGAATCCTAACTGGCCCACTGAAAATTTTTTCGTGAACTAAAAAGGACTATGAGCTAAATGAAGAAACTTTATTTATATATGGCATTTTAATATATAAAAAAAATAGAAACCTGTTTCAACTGTAATGTTTTCATGATAACTAACATCCAGGACAATTGGTCATAAAACAACTTGAATAGTGGCTGAAGGTCAAAAATACATAGAAGCTGAAAGAAGAAAGGAGAGTGAGAAAAAGGAAAAACTGAAACAGAAAGCAAAGAGCAAATATTTGGGAAGTAGGGGGGTAAATAGAGGGGCTCTAGGGAAAGGGAACCACTTTCATATCCTGGTCATGTAACACAGAGACAGTAACAGTCATGTGGCTTTGACATAAACACCACTAAAAGTGCTAGTCGAATGTCAAGGTAAGAGAATAGCCTAAAGATCCTGCACTCAAATACAACAGTCCATCCAGTAAACATATGTGGAGGAGGGGTCTATTGTGTTTTAACACCCAAACCAGGGGTCCTCAAACTTTTTAAACAGGGGACCAGTTCACTGTCCCTCAGACCGTTGAAGGACTGGACTATAGTTTAAAAAAAAAACTATGAACAAATTCCTATGCACACTGCACATATCTTATTTTGAAGTAAAAAAACAAACAGGCAAAAACACCCCCGCATGTGGCCTGTAGGCCCTACTTTGAGGACGCCTGACCCAAACTATATCCACTTGTAGAATATCCGCTTGTTGATGCCATGGACCAAGGATGTCCACGGCCATCTTCCTTCTGCCTTGAGCTTTCTTCTCCCAGATACTCCCATGGCTGGATCCTTCACTTTATTCAGGTCAGCTTAAATGTCTTCTCCTCAGAGAGGTCTTCCTGACCACCAAATCTAAAAAAAGGCCACCACCCTTGGGTTTCTGTAAATCTGCTGCAAACACAATTAGCCATGCCTGAATCACATCCAGATACATCTATAAAGAACAATATTCAGACAGCACCGAAGACATCATCGATCGGGTGTGTATGTTAGTCATAAACTAATTCTTCACGACAAAGAGAAAAAAACTTATTCTTTTACTAATTACAAAAGAATAGGGAAATAAAAATAGACTTACAAGTTTATAAAATGTTTTTAAAAAGTAAATACAAAAAAATCAATAGATGGCTGAGAAAAAGGGGTATGAATGAATACAGTAACTCTGCAGAGCACCCAACAATGCACATCAAAAGCATTTAAAATATTTATATTGTTTGACCTAGTGATTCTAATTCTAGAATTTGTCCTATGAAAACAATCAAGAGACATAGATAAGATGTTCATCACAGCATTAATTGTAATGATGAAAAGCAAGAGACTGTTACACAGCCATCAAAGATTCTTTAGAGAAACAACTCAAATGGTTATTGACTGATGGATAGATAAACAAAATATAGTATATACATGCAATAGGCCTTGAAAATGAATGATTTTCTGACACATCATGAATCAACAACATGAATCAACCTTGACAACATTGTGCTAAGTAAAATAAGCCAAACAGAAAAGGACAAATATTGTCTGATCCCACTTACATGAGGCACCTAGACTAGTCAAATCCATAGAGACAGAAAGTAGGATGGGGTTGCCAGAGGCTGGGGAGTAAGTAGGGAGTTACTGTTTTAATGGTACAAAGTTTCAGTTGAGAAGATGATAAAGTTCTGCAGTTTGGATGGTGGTGATGGTCGTTGAACAATGTGAATGTACTTAATGCCACTGAATCATATGCTTAAAAATTGTTAAACTGGTAAATTTTGTTATAGGTATTTTACCACAATAAAAAATGCTTTGGGATATTTAGCAACATGGTAATGTTCAATACGGAAGAAATAGTATATAACATTGTTCAGATTTTCTGTCAAATTCATTGTAAGCTCAGGTATAGAAAAAAATCAAAAAGATATTTCAATAGACAAAATGTTAATAGACATTATCTTGAGGTAGGATTACGAGTAATTTTCTCTCATACTTTTCTGTGTTTTCCAAATGTTCTAGGTAAACATGCAATATTTTTACAACTAGAAAATAAAATAAGATTTAAAAGCACCCTCATCTCTATCCTCTTACCCTGCTTTATTATTATAATAAATAGCACACATGACTACCTGAAAGTATACTGTATATTTATTGATATCCTTGCCATAGTCTGTTTCTTCAGCCAGAATGCAAGTTCCACGAGGGCATAGACTTTGTCTTACTCACTGCTGGATTGTTAATTCTTGAACAATTTAAGGCACTTAATGGGAACTCCATAAATATTTGGGTGAAAGAAAATGAGTCAAAGAATGAATGCATGAATGGACAGAAAACGCATCATCCTCAGTGTTTTAGCCCATTCCTGCTGCTATAACAAAATATCTTACGCTGGATAATTTATAAATAATATAAATTTATTTCTTACAGTTCTGGAGGCTGGGAAGTCCATGATCAAGTCACCAGCATATTTGGTGTCTGATGAAGGCTTACTCTGCTTCTTAGATGAGTGCTTCTTACTGCATCCTCGCATGATGGAAGAGGCAAAGAGCTGCCTTGCATCTCTTTTATAAGGTCATGAATACTATTCATGAGGGCCCTACCTTCATGAGTTAATCATCTCCTAAAGGCCCCACCTCTTAATACTTTCACATTGACAATTAAGTTTCAACATACGAATTCTAAGGGGACACACTCAGACGATAGCACTCAGGTTAGGACAGTGGGCATTCCTTTGTCCTGTGCTTCCCATTCCAAGCACCTGGGGTAGCAGCCCTTTTTATCTCATCTATACATTTCTCAGGATTGGAGGAAGGGTTTTCTCCAGATTAAGGGTCATAAAAATTAAATAAAGCCTGAAATATGTCCAAAGTAGGGCTCACGGGGTGGGAAGTAGTCTAGAAACGATGTCTTCTGAAAGATAATTGAAGGGGCTGAGCATATAAAAGAGAAGATTTAAGGGGGAGAAGAAATGTCATAGTCATCTCCAAATATTAGAAGTGTAGTCAGGTGGAACCATGCATTTATTCAATAAATATTCACTGAGCCTCTGCCATGTGCCAGCAACTGAGGTAGGTACCAAGAGTACAAAAAATAAGAATATATTTCCATTTGTTTGACTCCAGAGGATACAATTGGCAAAGAGAAGTTTGGAAAGACAGATTTGAATACATCATAAGGCAGAGAGACTAAATCAGCATTTCCTAAAGTGCATTTCATGGACCCCTAGGGATACATGGGATGTTCATTTATGTTATATGGAAAAAGGATGCTGAGGTCAAATAAATTGAGAAAATCTTGAGATAAGGTTAGAGTTTTTTTAACTATAGCATAGGACTTCCGAATCTTTAACATACTATTATATACTGTGATTCTCCTAAAGTGCAATATGGTTCCTTTCCCTAAATTTCTTGGACCACAGGACACTTTTTCTAGGCCTAGAATTCCATGGGATAAGCACTAGGAAAAGTTGTTTGCTCTTTACAATGAGAACATTCAACTTCACAACAGGTGGTCTGCAACCACGGGTCCAGACGGGCACAGTGGCTTGCCCCTGAGACACACCTTGGCACACGTACAACAGAGGCCCAAGTCTTCATTCTAAACCACTCATATCAATCCAGTCCTCCCACCTCATCCTCCTCCCCTCGCAATTTCCCCAGTTACCAGTGTTAGTACTCACTCAATCTTCTTTCCATCCTTGCTTTGAATTTGACTTTAATGAACTGTGCCTTGTGTTTCTGCTTCAGACTTGAGCTCTGCATTACAAGGATTCTGATTTCTTACCCTAAGCTGTCTGGAGCCATCCTGGGTAAGGCTCCCCGGGTTCAATTCTTCCATCCAGCTCACTGTGCGTAGAGGAGGGCGACCCAGACAAGGAGTAAGTAGGTTCTCATGTCGAGGATGCTACCAATGAGGAGAGCTTGAGCTTTCGGATGTTAAAAGTTCTTGCCTGGTCTTATTTTCAACTACCTCCTTGACAGGTATGAGATTCTGCCATGTCCTATTTCCAGGTATAATTTTAAGTACTTTTGGTACCTGGGAAACCAGCTATTTCTGTAGACGGTATCATCTTATTAGTCCTCATATGAAACACAGATGCTTCGCCACATAGTTGGGAAATCTTTCATACGATGAGATAAAGCTACTCATGCAAGGTCAATGGGCTATGTTCTACCTCCCAGCTATATGAATAAAAACCCATAGTGACTTTGAAGGCTTGCATGAGATTCCTGCAAGAGAAACTACAGGGTGTCCCAAAAGTAACCATATAATCAAACACAGGGAAAATGGGAAATTGTGGCTAAATGTACCTTTATTTACAAAATATTCACCACAAAATTTTACAAAAATCTTTCCTCAAGGCAATTTTGTAAATAAAGATATATTTAGCTACAATTTTCCATTTTCCCTATGTATGGCAACTTTTGGGACACCTTATAATTGTGACTTGGAACTATAGTGCTCAAAACCCCTTCCATTTTTTTTGTCTCTTACCTTGTAACTTGGGTTCTCATTCCAAAATCCAGTGACCTCATTGACTGCAGCACTTCAATACAGCCCATGTACTAGAATAAGAAAAGAAAAAGAACAAGTAGGACAAACAGACCACAAATCCATCTCTTAGTTTCATAATGACTTCCTGGGAAGCACCTTAAATCACCTCCTGATATCAAGTTACATTTGCACACTCTGCCTACCATTGATACTTCTGACCATTAATAGACACATGCCTTAATCTTTGATTCAGTTATAAAACATCAGCTAAATCCAAACTATAATATTAAGAATGCAGGTAACAAAGATGAATGCGGGTTCAGTGGTTAAGAGCATGGGCTCTGGGGCCAGACCATGTGAATTTGCATCCTGGCTCTGCCACTTCTAAGTTATGGAAGCTCAGCAAGTTATGCAACTTCTCTGCATCACAGTGTTGTCATTGGTAAAATGGGACACAATTAGAATCATTATAAGAGTTAAATTATTTCATACATGTAAAGCTTTTAGAACAATGCCTAGTGGATACAAATTGCCCAAATAGTAGAGGGGAAAAAAAAATAAAGGTGAGATAAATAATACAGGAATGTCAGATCTCTTAAGCAGACATAACTAGCATATAAATGCATATAACCCAGAACTTGGTAACAGAAGAGGATCTCAGCATCTTTTGCAAGATCATTTAAATATTAAGGGGATTCAAGAAAGGAAAAAAGGCATGTGCCACACCAGCAATCAGTAAGGTTAGCTTGAACATGGAATATGGGAAAAGCAGTTGTGGCTTATAAAGCTAAAAGATAGTTTATATTTCACGTGGCAGCGGTGAGGAGCCATGTCACACTGCTAGCAAGAGTGCCATTCGATCAGATCTGCGGTTGAGGAGTTTTAAGTCAGAGGCAGAATGAAGGTGGGTTCGCAGTGAGGACTGAGTTGGAATGATCCTGTTGAGAGGGAAGTAATGACAGCCCACACTGAAGAGGGATGGTGGCAATAGGAAGGAGGGGACAGATTCAAGTGACATCACGGAAATAGATACTACAGGATTCGGCCGTTGATTCGATATAGAGAATAAGAAAAGAGGATGAATCAGCGATGACTCACTCAGACATTTCCAGCCAGGGTAGCAGAGGGAACGGCGATGCCAGAAACAGAAACAGGAAAGCCAGGAGAGGGAAGATGATGCATTGGTTTGGGACCCGTGGACTGCAAGACAGCGGTGGGGGTATCCGGGAAATAACAAGCTGACAGCTGAAAATTGGATTCTGGAATCCTGGAGAGGAATTCAGCTGAGGGATGCAGACTTAGAAGTCTTCTGTGTAGTTTCACCAGGTGAGGCTGGGAGTAGATCCTCTTAGCAGAGCCTTTGTTGAGAAGGGAGAGTGTTTCTCTGAGAATTACCTTGGAATCATTACTAGGGCCAAGCGGTCTGATCAAAAGTGATCTGTAAGCACTGTGGAAAGATGGCAGGAGCGGGGTGCAGGGGTGACCTCCCCAGGCACTTCTTGTAGTGCTTGTGAGCAGGTTGTGTAGATTTAGCATCCTAAGAGCAGCTTGGTGCACCAGGTGTGGCCCCGAGCCTGGCGTTGGGAAAGCGTGCTGGCTGGGACAACAGCCCCGTCATTTTCAGCCAGATTCCTGCTAGTCACACTCAGCCACACTCCTCTTGGGGGTCTCCAGTATTGACACAAGAAACATTTGGGATACTTTATCCTGTTCCTATCTTACTTAACTTCCCAAGGTTTGGATACTACAAGGAAGTCAGTGGTGTCTAGAGATCGCTCTTCAACAAACCATAGGCTTGTTAGGAAAAGAAAGCTAGATTTAGGGGCTGTGTTAGAAAGCCCATCTCAGAATTTTCATGAAAGGAGATTCCAAGGGTCCAAACTCCCCCATCCGGGTGGATGGAGAAGATGGTTTGCGCGTTCTCACTGGCTGCTCCGGTTTCTCCTACCTTCCAGCACCCTCTCTGCCCGAGTGCTGCTCCTGCTCCACTCCTTCCCGCCCCCTGGCCTGGCCGTGGTTTGGGAGCAGGTCAGGCTGCACCTACGCTTCCGAGGGGGAGGCCTTGTTGTACAGAGACGGGTGCCATTTTCCCCCAGCTGTCAATCACCAATCGAAGACAAGGTGATGCCAACCAGCCCATCATCAGTGTATACTTTTTGAAAAGGCGACCACGCACCTGCAATTTTTACACTCGGCCACAGTGATTTTTCAAAAGTACATATCAGATCATGCTTCTCCACTGCTTAAGACCTCTGGCATGTATTGCCAAAACAAACACATTACTATAAACCCTAGACCTTGTGTGTGTTTTCCGGACCCTGTTTTGCCCCTTGAGCCCCATGGTGTCACCTCCTCCAGGCATCGTACTGCCACAGTGCCTCCTTCCTCTGCCCCAGATCCACCCAGCCCTGGCGCTGGCTGCTCCCTCTGCCTGCTCTGCAGCGCCCACTCCTTCCCCTCTGACGCCCCCTCCTGCCACCCTGATGGATTATTGGGCTTGCTTGTTAATTTGCTGGTCTGTTACCTGTTTTTTATTCCTTTGGCAGTAAGCACCGTGAAAGTAAGGACCACGACCGCCACCACGGTCCCTGGAACAGTGCCTCTGGGACCTGGTGGGCACCCGATAAACACTGGTTGCGAATGAATGAAGAAAGCATCTAGTGTGCAACCCCTACTGAGCCTTTCCAATGAGCCGAGAGAGGGAGGAGGAGGAGGGACTGAGGCAGGTGAAGGCTTAGCCAGCTCTCCACCCTGGGAACAAATGACGGGCACAGGAACCCCAAAGACACAGGACTCAGCACTGCAGGCCAGAACGATGCCCTGGGAAGGTTTCTAGATGGCTCATCAGTTTACTCCATGCTTGTTATTTTTGTTATTTCCCGTTTTAGAGATTGAGAGACAAACAACCTAGACAGAGGGGCTTTGCCAGTGAGGTGGGAAGCCGCAGAGGACGTGCCCTGCTTCCCAGGCAGTCTGTGCCGTGTGGGTAGGGACAGCCCCGAAGGATGGGGTTGACGGTGGGAACGTTAAAAGGAGAGTAGGCTGCGTGTCTGAACAGGAGAGGGACAGAGATGCTCCAGGGCTGATCAGGTTCGAGACCCCTGGGAGGCACAGCGTCAAAGTGGGGGCTATCATCGGCCCAGTTGATGAATTTCCAATGGTAGGATTTTTGTTGCCAATGAGGAGAGGGATTTTTAGTGTGTTGACGTGCAAAGGGAGAGGGAGAGAAGGACTCCTCCAAGGTTTGGTTCTGAATCTCACATCCTGGCGATAACCACCTTCTCAACGCTTCCTTCTGAGGCAGGCCCAGGCCCTGCTCCAGGCTCCCTGCCCCTCGTGTAAACCTCTGCTTTGATTCATACGCTTGTCTGTCAGCAACAGCACAGGTGACACTTCTGCCAGCCTCGCTGTGACACAACAGAAGCTTCTGGAGATGTGTGAGTCAGGGCCGGAGATGACAGGCAGTGGGTCCGGTTCTCCTTCCGCCTCGGGCTTCCGTTGAGGGAGCCCCACTGATTTTCACCGCAGTCACCCCAAAGCCGGGAACGGAGTGGGTCTTGCCCCTGACTCGCACAGTGTGTTTCACTCAGAAACCTTTGCTCGGAGGAAGCGGGGAGGGATGATACAGACGGATAATCGTCCACTCCTTTGTTCAGAGGCTTTGCCAACTGCCTGACCAGACGGAGGCTGAGTATCAAGGCCCAAAGGAGGAGAAGTTTAGTTTGTTTTTCACGCCTGTAATCCTAGCACTCTGGGAGGCCGAGGCGGGCAGACCGCTCGAGGTCAGAAGTTCGAAACCAGCCTGAGCAAGAGCGAGACCCCGTCTCTACTATAAATAGAAAGAAATTAATTGGCCAACTAATATATATACAAAAAATTAGCCGGGCATGGTGGCGCATGCCTGTAGTCCTAGCTACTCGGGCAGCTGAGGCAGAAGGATCACTTGAGCACAGGAGTTTGAGGTTGCTGTGAGCTAGGCTGATGCCACGGCACTGTAGACTGGGCAAGAAAGTGAGACTCTGTCTCAAAAAAAAAAAAAAAAAAAAAAGAAAGGTTTAGTTTGTTTAGATATAAACTGGAGATGGCGACACCTCGCATTCGTTCATCAACCTCGGATCTGCAGAAGACATGATCTCAAGAAACCCGGCCCCATAAAGTTGGATAGCCATGAAAAGAGACGAGTTCTCTTTTTTTATGAGATTAGTCATTGTTGTTAATTCCACTTAATAGATGAGGAAATTAAAGCCTATTAAAGGGAAGCGCCTGGCTCAGTTTCATGTATTCACTGATACTGAATCAGGGTTTATTCCAGAGTCCGTTGCTAGAACCCTTTTTACAACAGAAAAAGCAAAGGGAAGGGGTTATTTCTCCGGCTCCCACCTACGCTCCCTTTGGTCTGCCCAGGCAGGTGGCACAGTGACAAGACTGGGGGCCATGAGGGTGACAGCAGATGTGAATCTGAGCTGCTCTGGGGACTGCAGGAGGTGGCACACGAGACAGAAGACACTCCCTAATTCCCTACCCTGTGGCGAGGCGAGGACAACTGAGAACCTTTATTTAGAGGCCGGTGGGAAAGTGGCAGGGCCCAGACACCCTGCCCATTCGGCACCCACAGAAGGCTCACCTAAGTCCCGCTCCTCCCTCCTGCGTGCCCTGAGGCAGCTGTCATATGTTTGTACTGTCTGAGCTTCCACCACTGGCTCCCAGGGAGAGGGGAACAGCCTGTTCATGGTCATGTGCATCCTGGGCTTTGTGTTCCAGAGAAGAAATCACTGGGGTTTTCAGAGAAAAGCAGTGAGAGCTGGCCTACGGGAACGTCTCATCCCGACTCTCTTACACAGTGATGACTTCAAGCACATTACCTAAAGAAAAAAGAGATATATTCTTATAGCCTCAGAAAGAATGCCCGCCGGATGCGTAAGAAACTGTTAACAGTGGTTACCTCTGGAAACGGGAGAGAGGCAGCTTTTCACTTTACACTTGGGACTGTTTACATTTTTAAAAATAAGTGTGGGCCAGGAGCAGTGGCTCACACCTGTAATCCTAACACTTTGGGAGTCCGAGGCGGGAG